TATCAGCCAAATATTAATCAGTTATCTGATTATAGGTGCTATTTTTAATGTCAACACATAAACTAGTGCTAATTGTAACGGGAACCGTTACAGATGTTCCCCAAACGCTCCCCAACTCCCTTTCGGTGCCATATTCCCTGTAAGCTTCATTAAATAAGACAAACTCTGTGCATTTTTTACTTTAACAACGTTTTCCCAGAAGGATACCAATTATATTCAATTTTTAGCATTGCACCCAAGCGCATGTGAATGCATGTGCGTTATGACCATATCATCTTGTCTACACTTTTTATATATTTTAATATACTATATATTAAAGCATTCATACCAAAATTAATAAAAATCACTCATTCAAGAGTATTTTTAAATATACTCGTTTCAAATGCACGCACGTGCGTGCACGTGCATGATGATCACACCTTCTTGTAGGAGTCCCTTACATCTATCTATGTTCTAAATCCCATCCTGTTTGGTTGAAAAACAAGGGAGTTATAGCCATTTAAAGTTTCAGCCAATCAGATTGCAGCAAACGTGCATGCGCGTGATTTCATGATTTTTTTTATATCATTTTGTAGGATATCCTAATGCATGACTATATTTTAAATTTCAAAGAATTTCGTCAAAAAACAAAGGAGAAATAGCAATTTAAAGTTTCAGCCAATCAGATTGCAGCACACGTGCATGCGCGTGATTTCATGATTTTTTTTTTCTATATCATTTCGTAGGATATCCTAATGCATGACTTTATTTTAAATTTCAAAGAATTTCCTCAAAAAACAAAGGAGAAATAGCCTTTTAAAGTTTCAGCCAATCAGATTGCAGCACGCGCACATGCGCATGCTTTCATGAAAATTCTTATATATCATGCGGTAGATCTTCATTATGTAGGACTATGTTCAAAATTTCAAAGGATTATGACAAAAAACAAGAAAGTTATTGAGACTTTAGTTTCAGCCAATCAGAGCGAAGCGCACGTGCATGTGCGTGAGATCTTGCTATTTTGACCATGCTATCTTGTCTATACTACTAATGTATCCTTACATTATGAGTTTCAAAAAATTTCATAAAAAAATAGAAAAGTTACGGCAATATCCATTATATTGGTAATTTCACCTATTGCACGTGCGCGCTCTTGCAAGCACATGCGCGCAAAATGACCTTCGTTTGGCAACTCTACATAACATGCCTACTAACCCTAAAAAGGTTTCACCTAAGTCGGATGTGTAGTTTACAAGATCACTCGTGGACAAAATTTTCCCAGGAAGAAGAAAAATAATAAGAACTAGTGCTAATTGTAACGAGAACCGTTACAGATGTTCCCCAAACGCTCCCCAACTCCCTTTCGGTGCCATATTCCCTGTAAGCTTCATTAAATAAGACAAACTCTGTGCATTTTTGACTTTAACAACGTTTTTCCAGAAGGATACCAATTATATTCAATTTTTAGCATTGCACCCAAGCGCATGTGAATGCATGTGCGTTATGACCATATCATCTTGTCTTTCAAGAGTATTTTTAAATATACTCGTTTCAAATGCACGCACGTGCGTGCACGTGCATGATGATCATACCTTCTTGTAGGAGTCCGTTACATCTATCTATGTTCTAAATCCCATCCTGTTTGGTTGAAAAACAAGGGAGTTATAGCCATTTAAAGTTTCAGCCAATCAGATTGCAGCACACGTGCATGCGCGTAATTTCATGATTTTTTTTATATCATTTTGTAGGATATCCTAATGCATGACTATATTTTAAATTTCAAAGAATTTCGTCAAAAAACAAAGGAGAAATAGCAATTTAAAGTTTCAGCCAATCAAATTGCAGCACACGTGCATGCGCGTGATTTCATGATTTTTTTTTCTATATCATTTTGAAGGAAATCCCAATGAATGACTTTATTCTAAATTTCAAAAAATTTCGTCAAAAAACAAAGGAGATATAACCATTTAAAGTTTCAGCCAATCAGCTTGCAGCACACGCACATGCGCATGCTTTCATGAAAATTCTTATATATCATGCGGTAGATCATTATAATGTAGGACTATGTTCAAAATTTCAAAGGATTATGACAAGAAACAAGAAAGTTATTGAGACTTTAGTTTCAGCCAATCAGAGCAAAGCGCACGTGCATGCGCGTGAAATCTTGCTATTTTGACCATGCTATCTTGTCTATACTACGAATGTATCCTTACATTATGAGTTTCAAAAAATTTCATCAAAAAATAGAAAAGTTACGGCAATATCCATTATATTGGTAATTTCACCTAATGCACGTGCGCGCTCTTGCAAGCACGTGCGCGCAAAATGACCTTCGTTTGGCAACTCTACATAACATGCCTACTAACCCTAAAATGGTTTCACCTAAGTCGGATGTGTAGTTTACAAGATCACTCGTGGACAAAATTTTCCCAGGAAGAAGAAAAATAATAATAATAACTAGATACGATCTCGTTGCGAGCAACGAGTGGGTCTTCCGTCCGATTCTTGATAAGATGAGATAAGATTTTGATTGAGATTTTCATTCTAAAATAATGATTGTTCATAATCTGTAAAAAGACATTGAACATTAAAGACTTTTAAAAAATCGACTTTTGGCCCCAAACATTAGGGATCAACCCTTTTTTCTTCATATCATCTGAAAGCTCTCATGATTTTGATGACTTTTTGTTCAACAACGAAAGATTCTTTTTCGTTTTTGAGTTATTCGCATAAGAAATATTTAGGGGCCAAGCCTTGAACTCCTTAATGGGGCCGTTTAGCGAAAAATAAAAGGATTCATATTGTTCAGAACATGATTTTGAACATCATTTGTTTAGTATTACTTGTCAATATATTTCTCATTTTCGAGATATAAAGCGTCGAAGATTTAGCATTCTGGCCCCTTTTTGGCCCCTAATTATGTAATATACGACATTAAAATCATAATATACAGTTGCAGATTGTTGAGATAAACACTTTTGCTTCAGTAATGTATAACAAAATATTGACTGTTTAAGAGTTATCGAAGAAAGACTTTTAGCCCCTTTTGGCCCCTAATTTGAGTGCCCAGCCCCTTTTTCTGGATTTCATCTTGAAGCTCTTAGGATTTTGAACACTTTTTGTTCAACAACTATTCAGAGATTCTTTTTTGTTTTTGAGTTATTCGCAAACGAAATATTTAGGGGCCAACCCTTCAACTCCCTTATGGGGACGTTAAACGAAAAATGAAAGGTTGCATATTGTTCAGAACATGATTTTGAACATCTTTTGTTCAATATTACTTATCAAAATAATTCTCACTTTCGAGATATAAAGCGTCGAAGTTTTGGCATTTTGGCCCCTTTTGGCCCCTAATTATGTAATATACGACATAAAAATCCTAATATACAGTTGCAGATTGTTGAAATAAACATTTTTGCTTCAGTAATGTATAACAAAATATTGACTGTTTAAGAGTTATCGAAAAGACTTTTAGCCCCTTTTGGCCCCTTATTTGAGTGCCCAGCCCCTTTTTCTGGATTTCATCTTGAAGCTCTTAGGATTTTGAACACTTTTTGTTCAACAACTATTCAGAGATTCTTTTTTGTTTTCGAGTTATTTGCAAAAGAGATATTTAGGGGCCAACCCTTCAACTCCCTAATGGGGACGTTTAGCAAAAAACGAAAGGTTGTATATTGTTTAGAACATGATTTTGAACATCTTTTTTTCAATATTACTTGCCAAAATATTTCTCACTTTCGAGATATAAAGCGTCAAAGATTTAGCATTTTGGCCCCTTTTGGCCCCTAATCATGTAATATACGACATAAAAATCATAATATACAGTTGAAGATTGTTGAGATAAACATTTTTGCTTCAGTAATGTATAACAAAAAACTGATTGCTAAACAGTTATTGAATGAATACTTTTGGCCCCTTTTCCTCCTTAATGTGATGAGTCAGCACTTTTTTCTTGGTATCATATTAAAGATCTTGGCATTCCCCACAAATATTGTTCAGTATGTCTTAACAAAATAATTATATTTTAAAAGATATGATACAAAATGTCTCCAAAATTCACTCATGATTCGTGTCCTAGATTTTGACCCCTACCGAGCTTCCGTATTGGACCTTTCTGAAAAATTTTAAATCCATTGTGCAATTCAGCAATGTGTCGTCTATCATCGCTGAAAATTTCAACTCTGTAGCTAATGTCGTTTTTGAGTTAACTTAAGGACAAGGAGACCCTCTAAAAATCACTGAAAGGGCGATAACTTCCGACCGGAAGTGAATTTCCAAAAAATGAAAAAAACGTATAAGGTCTAGATAAAGATACATCATCTCTGAAATTTTCAAGTAAATCGGTCGAGCCATCTCCGAGAAATCTTCTGCACAAAAATTGTAAAGAAAAAGGAAGAAGAATTAATAATAACTAGAGCAAAGCTCGTTGCAAAGCAACAAGTGGGTCTTCCTTCTTAGCGATAAGCAGAAAGTGAAATGTTTCAATTGTCAACTTTGCTACCATTCTTTGTTTCTTTGACTCAAATAACAAAAACCTTTCCGGGTTAGAATAGGTCCTCAGTACCCTCTTGCTTGTCGTAAAAGGCGACTAAATGGGGCGGTTCTTCGGATGAGACCGTATAAACCGAGGCCCCGTGTCACAGCAGGTGTTGCACAATAAAGATCCCTCCCTGCTCAAAGGCCATAAATGCCAAGCATAGGCCTAAATTTGCAGCCCTTCACCGGCAATGGTGAAATCTCCATATAAGTGAAATATTCTGGAGAGGGACGTTAAACAGTAAACAATCAATCAATCAATTATACTGTAAAAATACAGATATTTACACACATTTATAACCTTAACTATTAGAACTGGTATGTCTTCTCTTGGAAACTGAAGACCTCAATACAGATGTTAACATGCAAGATCTGACACATACTTAAAAAGAATATTTATTCCAAACTAAAGATAGACTCTGTAACAAAATCTATTTCTCTTGAAAAACTGAAAGCAATTGATTTGTTCATATTTTGGATTTATGTCTGTTTCTCCAATCAAAATTTAAATATGAATATTTAAAGTCAATATCATAAACTAAGACTGTTTCACATGAATGTTTCAATTTCATTATGCTGTTTATTCCTTGTCATCCCCCAACAGATGCTCTTCTGGCAAATCATGATCGTGCATGGAATCAAATTTCAGTACTCTGATGACAGTCACACCTATCAAAAAGAAATTGAAATTTTTTATTGAACTTTTTTTAAAAAGTGCAACTTATACACTGTTATAAGATAAGATAAACCATCAAACTGAGTTCAAAGATACTGTCACATTTTCCGGTAGTCTATAATTATTTAAAAATATAGGTTTACAGGCAGTCATTTGAGGATGTTATAAAATAACATATTAGTTTTTCATGATTTCAAATAAAGAAAATGTACATTACTTGTTCATATCAAAATTTATTAGGAATGGTAATGGTTAACAGTTGTTAACCGACTAATTAGCCAAAAAGATGGTATCCAGTTATGATTTTTTTATGTGTCAGGATAAGACCATTCGTAAAGGTGTTACAGCAATTAAGAACAATGCGCTAATGAAGTGACAAAACGCTATTGCATAAGGAACAAAGAGCTAGCGCAAAGTAACAATGTGGCTCTAGCTCATTTATAACACCATGCTAGTAAGTTTATGACAACATTCTGGCCAGTTTAAGACACTTACAAGGTAGCATGAAGTAAAAATGTGCTACAACACTTATGACTATGGTCTAGTGTGTTTATGACAACACAATGACAATGTACTTGTGAATTGTAACAATGTTGCAGCAGGCTTTTACACCACACAGTCAAGATTACATGTAATAGATTGTGTAAAGCTGTGTTGGCATGGCAGCATATTTTGTGTCAGCACAACTGCATGTTATTTTAAGTTGCCTTAGCCTGACAGTGTTGTGAACACTGTGTTAGCACATTGTTCCTAAACATGCTGAAGCACTTTTACAATTAGCCTTATCTGGACACCATAATTTTCATAACCAACTAGCCATGTTTTTTTGTAAAAGTACATGTACCAGGGTACATGTAAATCATTTTTTTCATTTAGATTTCCATATGTTTTAAAAAGACAAGGAATAAAATTCAATTTGCTATAAGCTTCTATTCATTATAAGTGTTTGCCAAAGCATTTTTTCCTATATAACCAAAATACATCTTTGTCTTTATGGTAGCCTAGTGGTAGGGCATTCCCTTTATATAGTCCTGAAGTTTAGCTTGATTTCTAGCCGGGCTCATTGCTACGAAGTTCAACAGGAAATGCTGCTTCATCACTGATGCTTAATCAAATTTACACGTTAAAATATAGTACATTTGCGCAATCAAATTTGAGGCAATACAAACACTGATTACAGAATTAAATTTTCAAAGTTATCTGAAATTGTCAAAAAATAATTATAATAATGTACTTTCTACAGTCTTCTTCGATTAATTATTTGATTAAAATATGCAAAAGGTTTTCATCAGGTATCGATGTGTGCGCCATATTCTATAAATAAAGGTTGTATTGTCAGTCTAACACAAATGCGGTAAACATCATTAATTACTTGATGTACGCTTTGATGCAAATTCTCAGCTGAGGACACCTCAGTGCATAATCGTTTTACCTTAATTAATCTTGCTGCATTAGTGTTTATTTACTTCTGTTGGTATATAAATCCCCGAAACCGCCTCAAACGATACATGTGATGAATATTTTATGCTGTAAACAAAATTCAGTTTGTCAATAAACATCAATTAAATCAACAATGCCGCAGTATTGCTGTGTCCCAGGATGCCATAATTCAGGAGGACATAAATTCCCATCAGATCCAGAGTTACAGCAGAAGTGGATCATTGCAATTAAAAGAATTGTTTGAACGATTTGTTAATTCATTCATTTTACTTTTTCTTGAGTTAACCATGTTAACACCAGAATTTAAAGTTCGCGTTGCTTTGTGGTTTCTTGTTTCTTTTTTCAGTTGATACTCATCCAAGTCCTTGAAGAATAGACAGTGCCACACAGATAAGATTTACAAATATAACCATTTCTATATGAATTACTTTTATTTATTATACATGCGCTATAACTAGCCACTGTGCTTTAAAATAGTTGTAGAGAAACATCTAGCTATTATCAGATTATCATGATTATTAAAAGTTAAGATATTTATTAGGCCCTGATGGGTGCTCTTTAATTGTAAAAAAAAAAAAAATTACATTATATACGAGGGTTGTTAGAAAAGTTCGCAGACACATTGAATTACAGAAAATCTATTGTGTACTGTGAAGTATGACCTTTGTCTGAATAAATTCCTACATTTTGTTAATTAGTATGTAAAAAAACAGGTCCATTCACTAAAATCTTGAAAATTTACAACAATTTTAACTTTGAGGTCTTGGGATTCACGGAGCAATCGCTTGACGTAAGGCGACGTAACAACCAGATTTCAACCCGTTAAGCTTTGCCCAGTTCTATAAATTTTTCATTTCTTCAGATTATTCTTATCTTTTTTTCTACGTTAAAATTGAATATCTATATCAAGACATGTTACTTTTCTAATATAATGTCTTTTGTACTGATTCGTATATTATTGAGATCTTTAAAAAATCGATCAGGAATGGAACTATGCTAAACCATATAGGCACAACGTCCATGCGATAAGGGGGTATTGAAGTATCGATGGAGTTAATCATTCAAAATGTTAACCCTTCTATTCTTATAGAGGTATAACAATTTGAAAACTTTGTGCTTTGTATCTGTAGGAAATTCCTGACAGCATCTTGAAAATTTTAATCTCTTTTTAGATATATTTTCCTGTCTACACACAAAATTTTTACGTAGTGCAGTGCTCCATGACGCTCGATGACGTTCCGATATTTGGCTGTGTTTTTACGCGTTGATCATTTATAAATGGCTATAAAACAGTCATATACCCTCCAATTTTATTCAAAATTTTTCCCAATGTCGTTTTGTTAATACCTTAGCGACAGGTAAAATATCATAAATCTCTTTGCGCTACAATTGTGCAATTTTTAATTTTAATAGAGTCTTTGTGATGAAAACGTGCCGAAATGTAGCATGCACCGTGAAGCAAGATTTATCAAAATAAAAAAGCTATATATTTTTCAATGATCACTGGAGAGCACAAAATTTTTGTATATTTATTGGAAAATAGGTTAAGATTTTATGTGGAAAGTTTGACTGGTTTCGTACAAATAGCGCGCTCACAATAGAACTTGTCCGCGAACTTTTCTAACACCCCTCGTATTATGTGCTTTACAAAAGTATTCTAGTACTGATTTTTTACCTTCTTGATATAATTACTTGGATTGTTTAGAAATATTAAAACACCCCACTGGCCAGTCCCTGACTATTACCCCCATTTTATATAGTGACATGTCGCAATATAAAAACAGGGACAAGAGTCAGAGGAATATGATTTCCCACCAATTCCCCATAAAAAATCTTTCAAAGAGGGTTGTTTTGATATGTGTACAAAACAATTAACCTGTATAAGGGAGGTTATATTGAAAATATTTCTCAAAAATATATAGAGGATATTTTTTATTGTGCAAGAGCTGTAATATTGTAATGTGTCATTTGTTGCAAGTGTATACCATTCTATGATTTACTAAATGTATTTTAGGAGACCGTTCCTGTTTGAAAGAAAACTCAATACCAACAGTGTTCGAGTTTAGGACAAGCATCACTGATGAGTCACCACGAGCTAAGCGTTACAAAAGCAGAGAATCATCTGATGATCAGCCTGTGCAGCCTGAGCTTGGCAACTTAGATTTTCAGTATGAAACTGAAGTTGCAACATCTACACCTGTGATGATGGAGGAAAGTCCAAAACCAGAACAAAATTTTCCCAATATGTGCGATGAGGAAATTCAGTGTGAAATTCCTTTATCGGAAAGGTACTCTATTGAAAATTTTCGTTTTGATGATAAGGCGATTTTGTATTACACAGGGTTTGATGATTTTGATCATTACATGATGTTCTTTTACTGCTTGGGGCCTGCTGCATTTGAACTGAAATATCAATGCTCTCTGTTACATCCTAAAGATCAACTGTTCATGACTCTCATGAAGTTGCGACAAGCAAAAGATGATGTAGAGTTGGCACTGCTTTTCAAAGTGTCAGAATCAACTGTTTCTAGGATAATAGTTCAGTGGATAAACTTCCTTTATTTTCAGTTAAAAGAACTTAACATTTGGCCGTCCAAAGATATAGTTCAGGAAACCATGCCAGTTGATTTTAAGCGAAAGTTTCCAAAAACAAGAGTTATTCTTGATGCAACTGAGGTTCCAATTCATAAGCCCTCTCATGTAAACTGCCAAAGCATAACGTGGTCAAACTATAAGCACAAGAATACGTTGAAAACAATGATAGGCTGCAGTCCCAGAGGTGCGGTTACTTTTATATCTGACTCTTATGGAGGCTCAGCAAGTGACCGACAAATCATTGAGAAGTCGTCTTTGCTCGATCCTACCATAAAATCATTTGACAAGAGAGACAGCATCATGGCAGACAGAGGAATCATGGTACAAGATTTGTTTGCCTGCCGTGATGTTGCTGTCAATACACCAACCTTTTTAAAAGGTAAATCACAGCTAGATGCACAAGAAGTAGTCAAGGATAGGAGAATATCTTCAAAACGTATTCACATTGAGAGAATTATTGGATTAAGTAAGCGTTACAAAATTCTTCAGCATGGGATACCAAGCAGCAAAATTCTCTTAGGGTCTAGAATAATTTATATATGTTTTGCCATATCTAATTTCAGGAAGTCTATTGTACACAAAAATGCATAGGCTTGCAGTGTTTATAAGTGTACACAAAAATGTGTAGGCTTGCAGAGTCACCAAAACTTATTATTTTATGATAGGAACCTCAGCTGCTTCAAAAATAAACACTGATTACTTAAAGCTGAACATGATTCATAAAAGGAATTTGTCCGTAATATACTATTGTTCACTCTCTATATCTGAAGGCCCCTATATAAAGCCACTCAAGTCACTGTTCAGTGATATCAGTCATCTACGGTGTAGACAGAGTTATTCTATACACATAGAAAGAAAATATAACTGTTTAATCACTTTTTTGAATATATAGACATTACATAGGCATTGAAAATTGAAATTTCCCTTTTTTTTTTGGTTTAGCCCTTCCACTTTCGATTAGCCCCTGCCCCCACTTTCAATTTGCTTCCGACACCCATGTTAATTATTTCTAATGTAGGATAGTAACATACCAAAGAAATTTACAACAGTTGCATAGGTCAGTGCAGTGTACAAACACAACTGCAATGAAATGTAAACAAGGTTATGCAGATAATCATTTTTATCAACACGATCAAGTGTCACCATTCCACACCAATACCCATGACGATAAAGCAATCAGGTCAGGTGTAACGAATGTGAAGGTCATACCCCATTGCTATGGTAGGTAGTATTGTCAAAACTGGCGGCATCCACTTATGAGTCATGTTCAGCTTTAAAATGTATAAAAGTTATATGAATTGCTTGATGAATGTAGATATATTTAGAATGGTTAAGAATAAACATGTTTATAATCATGAGTTTTCTCTTTTTTTCCATCTCCTTGATTTAAAGTAGTCTTGTTTAATTTCTGAATGAGGTTTACATTCAAATTGCTGCAATACAATTTTATTTTGTACATCGGTTTATGCAGCTCATTGGTTAAATCCCCCAAAGGGATCTGGGTTGGATATCTGATTATTCCAATGATTTTTCTCATGTCTTTATATAATAAATAGGAAAAAAAAATAATTTAAGACAATATTAGCAGCATACAGTTGTTCATTTAATAGCAAACATGATGCACATGATTTATTCAATATTCTATCAGTCCAAAAAACTTCAGTTCTGAGGCATATATTCCAAATTATTCACCTAATTTAGCCATGTTAAACATGAGTATATATACTTAGAATATTTGATTGAATGTAAATGTCATTTTGATTACAATTACCAAATTAGAGAATGGGCAAAGCTAGCTACAAAGTACAATATGGTTCAAATTGAAAATCAGAAGAAAAAAATGTACACATCAGTTGTATTGATATCATAAGAAAAAAATTCCTTTAAAAAATGCATTAATCTTTAACTTCAACAACAGTTTTTGTCTACAAAAATGTGTGTCTAAAAATTTTCTGAACAAAGATTTCACAAGCATAAAAACATATGAACAAATTCACTTGTGTTTCTTAACAGAAAAAAAAAACTAACCCCTTAATGGTCTGCATGGCATAGAAAAAAAATTACAACAGGGTTATAATAAATGATCAAATATATCAAACTTCAAAATCTTGGAGCTTCAGTTCTGTTTGTATCTTGCCCACAAGACAGAGACAAATCGACATCATCATATCATATAATACATGTACATGTAAATACATTTCATATATTTGATATGCAAATAGGGCAGTACAAATCTCAGGTGTATGCTCATAATTTTGATGCTATGAATGGCCTGTAATATTTCTCAAAAAATACTTTCAACTTTGGCAGCAAAGAATTTTCACAATAATGTTTGTCTAGATGAATTTTCTGTACAAAAAGATCCTTCAGAGTAAAAACAACAAAATAACAAACTTCTCTTTTGCTTATGTACAGCTGACCCTGTATTTGATCATAATAACTATGTGACTTTTTCAGTGCAATATTTCCATTGTCATCAGTCGTAAGATACTTAAAGTGACCTCCTGGTTTGACCATATCATTTTTACCACTGTAGGAGCATTTGACCTCAACAATTGCAGAATCATCTACAACTGCATCAGGGGATGCTCCCAAATATGGATAGTCTAAACAGACAAAAAGCCCACATTCTCTAGTTTTTATACCCAACTTGTTTTCAAACAATTTCAACGCTTTTTTTTCATAATTTTTCCCATGAAGAATGGCTTTCGTTTTGATATTTGAACATAAAATAGAACAACATAATTTACTCGTATTGCGTCGACAAGTAGCTCTGCAGACTTCTCCAAATCGTGATGCAGTCAGTCTCCACTCCCTCGCCTCAAACCATTTGGTGTTTTTGCTCTGTCCTCTTGTTGATTCTTCTATCTGCTGAATTTTTCGTTCATCAACCTTTATATATTTTATTAGTTTTTATTGAAATAATATGTCAAAATAACAATTATTTTTAATAATTACTTAATCTAAAAAAACACCAAATATTATTTCGTTTACTTTAATTTTAAAAAAAAATGATTATTATTTATGACAAAGTATTCGATCAAAAAAAGGAAAGAAAATCATTGGGACTATTTTAGATTGTTTCAAAAATATTTTTAAGTACAATTAATTTTTCATATTTCTATTGCTTAATTACCAGTACTTACCATCAAAGCATTATCAACCATTTGTTCTGTAAGTGGCAAATTACCATAGTCATGCATCATGGACACAGCCTGTATTATCAAAATAAACAAATATTATAACATAGATCTGTCGGCTGTATTTTTTATATTCTGTCTTTAAATAAATTTGGCAGCACTATTCATATTTTCAATGTACATACATACATGTATATGTGATAAATATAAAGTGTAAACTGTAAAGTTAACCGCTTAATAGTTGTATTTATTTAAAGGATTTTTTTTTATTTACACGAATGTTCAATGTATGTACAAAATGTAGTGCTTCATATAAACTAAATTAGAAACAGCTATGATTAACCCAATGTTAACTTAGTATTTCCTGTTTTACATGGACATATACTTCAACTATACCTGAAAATTTGCTCTTGGATACAGATACCTCATAGAGATATCTTTAGATGTTATGCTGCAGTAGTTGGTGATGATATTTTGTACCATAGAGTTGTAAGACGGATTGTTTCTGTGCTTCAGTGGCCTTGGATCTTCAAAAAAGTCTTCATACGGTCTCTTTTTAGATGGGAGATCCTCAGCTTTTACTGGAGAACCTGTTTTGTTTAAAAAAAAATATTCAATATTTATGGAAATGGCTAGTAGTAGTTCAAACCAATATCAGAACATTAATATGAGAAGATTTACATAAATTTTAATGACAGAAATGATAGTATGTAATTAATATGTAATATTGTTAAAATAAGTTTAAAGAAGAATCTTTTTCCTGTTTAAAGCAAAACACATACCACTGTAAGCACTCTTTGGTCTATGGAAAGACATCAGATTTTCGGTGCAGGATCTTGCGATTTTTAAAGTCCCATTCTCGGTAAAATACTCGAGCATGATGCAAACAGCCGCAAGATGTTTGCAGGTGCCATGGGGCCCTCTTCCTGCTGGGCATTCACAGTGGGTGTTCAGAGGGTCCCCACTCTCTCTTGAAACCCGGACTTTATAATTGTAAGTCACCTATGAAGAGATTTTCAAATTTAAATATGTGTAAACCCATACATATAACTATGATGTCAGATGAAGTATATGTTAAAAAAAATGATAGTATATATATATATAACTTTTTAATATACGACTCATTTTCATCAATATTTGTTTTTCTCTATATATGTAAGCATTAGGCAAAGAAATATCTCAAGAGATGAATGCTACTCGGTACTGACTTACTTTTTGTTTCATCGCTGCACCCACAATTCCAGTGAGGTAAATATCATTGTCGATGCATATAGAGCAAGCCAGAACTTTGTTGGAGTCAAACATGTCTTGGCCCTTCACCAATGCTTTCAAATCTCCAGTGCATTGTCTGTCATCTAATTAAAAATAATATCTAATTAATATCAATATTAAAATTTTGGAAGTATTGACCAAGATGATTTACCCTGGCTGTATAATCTGTCAGATAGAATTTTCCCTAAATATTCTCAGTTATAATTTGATCCTTTAAAGGTATAGATCTATATACCTGCTATTCTATAAAGAAAATATGCCTCTATCTGTTCTCGAGTGATTTTGGGAATGATATGTTGGTGTTCTGGGAGAATCTGTTTAAATCCAGCCACCGGCCATCCGACTTCAAGGGGCTCTGGTAATAAAATAGGATCTTCCTTGAAGTTCTGATTCCGATCATAGGCCTCCAATCTACCAATTAATTACATCTAATTAGCATGAAATGGCTAATATAACAAATGGTCATCAATGTCATGATAAATCCTGTAGGAAATACACATGAAAAAATTGGACAAAATAGATAACCAATAACTGAATAATATTAGAACTGTGTTACTTTTATACATTTATTAAAATTAAGGTTGACCATTGTGTACATTTACAAGTACATGTACATCTGCATGCGTGTGCCTAAGCAAGATCACAGAAAAAGACTTTTTTTTTTCTTTAAGGTATTTCATTAATAATTAATAAAAACAACAACAAACGCTTAAGATTTCATTGGAGTGGCTGAACGCCTGAACGAGACGAACTCAAAACTGCAGACTAATCATGCTAATGTGGGTAAATTCAAACCCGCAATTTCCTTTATGATATAATTAAATATGCAATAATATTGAAATGTAAGTATGTTAACTATATCAAATATATAATATTAAAAATTTGAGTCACGAATAGGCCTATACGACGCAAACTTTGTCATCTCCGTAGGCTGGCGTAGCCTACCTAATGCTAACATGGTTCAACTTCAGCTTACTTTCATTGTTTAAAAGACGTAATATTTACCTGTCTATAAGTTCCTGCTTTCGACCAGTTGTTACCGCACCTCTTTTTACCAATTCCTCTTTTATCTGTGGGACTTTCCAACGAGAATAACGCGAAGAAGTTTCATCCATGGTTTCTCCTTACTACGTTTACTAACAGACGCTTGCATTTAAGCGCTCTTCTAACCACCTCTAGTACCGTCGCGCCACCTAGCGAGTAATGACGTGAATACGTACTATTCTATAATAATTTTATTTAATTTTAAAACTTTTTAATACTATTTATATGCCATAGAGATATTTTTGTGGATAACATATCCTCTCAATGTCTGAATTTGTTTTTAAACTCTCAGCACAGTCTTTGTTCATTACCCTGTAAATGAGCCCAGCTTTTAGTACTTCTGAGTACTTTGATTATTCACTGCATCAAGCCTAAGACAAAAACATGATGCAGTAATGTTACTTAACCATGCACCCAGCATTTGAAGTGAATGAGACCTTAAAAACCTCATAGTACATGTTAGGACAATGTCACTGAGTTCCAAATAAAGGTCTAAATAAAAACTATTCACCGGTATATATTAACACCTCTAAATCAGTGAAGGAGTGAAAATTCTCAAATAACATTACCAATCAAAGTACCAATAAGAAGCTGATTCTTACATCACAGGTTCCAATCCCATTGCTAAATGCTTCAGACGGGTTACTCCAATGAGACCGCATACACCGAGATTCAGTGTCAAAAGGATCCCTTACTTCTCAAAGGCAATAAGTGCTGAGTACAAGTCTATATTTGCAGCTTACTATCCCAAGTGGTGGTATCATCAAATGACTGGAAAATGTTTGATAGGCCAATAATCAAACAAACCATTCCTGCAGTCATCTAAAAATAAGCAAACTTTCTATTATTACAATTGTTTTTACAAATTTCTTTGAGATTTAACTGAGCAACAATTGTGCAATTTTTTGTCAATAAATTTTGATACTAAAGACTTTGTTTGAACAGCTATTTATAGCAATTACAGACAGCAGCACGAAGCGCTGCTCATAGTGCAAGCTCTCATGACAACGCCTTGGCAAAGAGAAAATTATCACTTGCTTATTGATCCACACAATTTCTTTTCTGCAGTAACTTTGGACCCACAGTGCTTTGATTCTTTAAGCTACATTCTTGCAAGAATTGATCAAAAGTTTCCAAAAAATAAATTCACCTTGATTTAATGGATAAATTGCAGATAAATAGTGGGTGAAAAAATTCTTCATTAAAGTCAACACTATTCAAGATTTAGACTGGTAGTGTAGGCCTAACTTACACCACGACATCGTGTGACTTCAAAGTCTAGTGCCCTGTTCACATGGAGAGTTTAATTCGCAGTAAATGATTGCAAAGTAAACTAATGCGAATCAAACTAATGGGAATCAAACTGTGTTAACATGACAGCTAATGCGAATTAAACAAATGCGAATAAAAATTTTACTTCTACAGTCAAGTGTCAGTAAGGTTATCCACTCAAAAATAGCACAATTAAGTACTTAAAGCTGACCACCAACATGTAGCATTTGAATTAATTTTGCCATTACACATGCCTCAAAATTTAATTCGAATAAGCTTCCCTTTGTGTTAACATGGAGCTAATGCAAAGTAATTTAATTCGCAGTAAATAATTCGAATTAATAAAACTAATTTGAATTAAACTCCCCGTGTGAACAGAGCATCGATGCACCAAATATCAAGTGCGGTTTGACAAGCCCGATCTAAATTAAAACTGAATAAGTATCTGCCCTCACCCTAACAGTCACACTGTCAACATATTGTTACGGTGTATATTCAACAAATAATAAGCGTAGTGTGAATTACCCCTCCATGGTTACTGCGGTATTGCTCTTTTGCAGGGCAAAATAATAACGTTTGGCAAAGTTTTTGTTGAGAGATAATTAAATGACGTATATTTAACAATTACTTATATGTCATATTTCACCAAACTATATCATTTTGCCCTGCAAAAGAGCAGTACCGCAGTTACCGTGAAACGGTCTATAAGAGTATCACTATGATGGTTAGTGTGGAGTGTTGATTTTTTGTTTTGAAAGTGAGTCTTGTTGAAATTAAATGCTCACATATATTTAAATAAAAAATAAAAAGCTGTTGGGATTTTAAAAGGCTAACAGGCTGTTGGGATTTTAAAAGGCTAACAGAAAGCGTCTGAGCCTTAAAACAGATAATGTATCGGTGTGTCTGTGTCGTCGTGTACCCTAAATTCGTCCGCACCCTAAATTCGTCCCCAAACTTCTCGAGACCAGCACGTTTCGAACTTTGTATCGATGACGTCATTTTTAATTGTTATGACAAGTGAACACAATCATGCAACTGTTTCAGCAATTATTTTTTAGAATTTGCAGTATAATCTAGTACTAAACTTGAAGAAAATAAAAATACTTGAAATATCTGATTTTTCCTTATGTCCATTTTTTATTGAAAGAGTACACGGCAGTTACGTTCCCCAGAATTACTTCCAGATCAAATATACCTTCATTTTATTATTTTATACCTGTCATTATATTGAATAGCTTTTAATTTAAGAATTTGATAAAAAGAAATCAATGCTCCGAAATCATAAGGAACCTATACACTTTCCACCTAGGATATTGACGTTACCCGTGTTTGGTTGACCTACTATGCGGCCATGCAGGTATCCGTAATTATTTCAGGGAAAAAATCTAAGTCATCACTGCAAATGATAGTTTCCAAAAATCAAAGATTTTAACAATCACTTTGACTAACAGCTGTGAATGCTTCCAACAACAGACATTCTGTTGGTACTACAAATTTAAAAAATTTATACTGTGCTGCTGATTTTCCCTTTTCTTTTGTGTTTTGTTTTTAATAAGTTTTATATAATCGAGAATTTTCCTATACAGAAATATGTTATTGAGACGGCAAATAAATAAAACCAAATATATTATATCAAAAATATTTCCCATACATACGAATTTATTATACCAGACCTTTAAAAAAAATCAATCTTTCAACACGACCAAGCATTTATGATCACATTGTTTGAATTGATCTACTTTTGACCTTGCCCAGTCGCCAGTCCTCATTAACCCCCCCCCCCTTCCGCTTGCAAAAAAAAAGTCGGTAAGTAATCAAGTAATCAAGAAGAAAATATTTTATTTATACAAACCATTTTATTGAACAGTCGTTTTATTATTCCGACCAAACTGTATTTTTGTCACAATGCAGTTTAACACGTGCTATGTGCATTGAAGCATAACTAATCCAGTGGTCGTCTACTGAGTGAACTTCACGATATAATCAGGTAAAACAAGACCTTTTTTTTTTGCAAACGCTTTAATTTCTCATCCAGGGGCGTAGTATCCGGGTGGGGGGGCCTGGCCCCCCCACTTTTTTTCCCAACTTTACTTACACTATAGGAAATGTTAATTGAAAGCGTGGTTGGCCCCCGCACTTTTAGAAATGTACCGAAAATGTAGTATAAGAATTGGTACTAAAAGTAGTTGACACTGAAAAAAAGTTAACCTCCCCCCCCCCCCCCCCCCCCCCCCCAACACAACCACTAATTCGTATTTTTGTCTTTGGGCAACTTTTACCTTTTTTTTTTTTTTTTTTTTTTTTTTTTTGCTTTTCAAATTTTTGAGGTAAGTAAAAAAAATTTTTCTCTGCCTGGCCCCCCACTTTCAAAAACGATGCTACGCCACTGTCATCTACTGCAGAGCTAGTAGATGAAAAGTTTTTTTCCCCTGTAACGTGAATATTTTACATATATTTATATAATGAGGTAATCATTTCAAGTCTACGCATTAAATTCTAGTTTTTCTATTTTTTTTGGGGGGGGGGGGTCAGATTGTGCCAGACTTGCACTATTCAAATATTTTGATTTTCTATCGGGTTTTGCCAATAAGGTCAATGAATTTTGGAAAATCTAAAATTAAACATTGTATAGCATTATTTGCGGCATATCAGGTACATGACATCGTTGATAATGTAAATCTAAAAGCACGTTCGAATACGTTCGTGTTTTTTTTATTTCGTTAAAGAAAACGGAGTCGGTAATAGCGAAAGCAATTTAATGTTCTGAAATTGATAAAAATATTTTTTTTTAAAAGTCTTTGCATAGAACTTATTTACAATTTTTATTTTAATGATATTCCAAACCCTTTTTAATCACAAAACACGGAAAACAAGTAGACCAATCATCTGCGTCCGTTGTATATCTGAAGGACGAAAATAGGGTATGGGTGATATTTTTAAGTGTTAAAGTTTGATTTTGTAGAAGAGCTCTAAAAATCTTGTGAAGAATGGTAAGAAAAAAAATAATTTTTAACATTTAATCAGCATTTCAATTCTATAACTAGCACTGAGGTTTGTTTATCAATTTGCACGCGCTCGTCGTTACTATGACGTCAAAAGTCGTAAGGGGACGAATTATGGGTACACTAGGATAAAAGTCGGAATTTCCTCGTAAACAATTCACACAAAAATTTATAAATCGGATAATTCTGCTGAAAATAATGCTCCAGAGGATTGATAAAGTACTTCGTAGCTGCAGATCAAATGTGCGTGCATGTCTACACACGGCCTGTGGCTTGTGTGGTAAGAAATGCTCAACTTCACATGATTTCCAACTTTCAGTTTGTAAACATGTGTTCGACTTTTGGGACACACTAATAACCGGATATACGAAAGACCTGATATTTACCTGATGTTTTTATTTTAGATTAAATGACAATATTGAGTACTTCAAATGACTTTTTTAAATACTTTATGACTATGATGCATAATACTATACAAAAATTCGTTTGTTTGGAATATTTACTGACGATTTTGAATCAGGTCAAATAAGGTTTTTAGTATATCAGGTCTTTAGTACCTTCCCATTTCCCACAATGCCGCGCGTTGTTTACAAACAAGAGGCCCCGAAAAGACTTCCTCTTAACTAATGCAGAAATATTTTGATTTTACTTATTGCTGTGTACATCACATTATATTAATTATTTGAATAAAAAGAAAACAGAGAAACACCGAATCAAAAAAATATCTTTCAGATGCATCGATCAACTAAAACTATGCAAGAGGCCCAGTAAAGGCTTGGCTATAGTAGACAACTTGTTCCTGTAAGGTTTCTCACATATTTGTTTTATAAAAAAGTATTAAATATAGCTTGAAGTTTATTTCTCCTTATATCAAACGACACGATTTAATCAGTTCGAAATTATTTCAGTCAAACTTTTTCATAATATACCAATATTTTTAGCTATCAGATAAAAATGTGTATGAGCTATTAACCCCTAATTATAGGGGTCAGCCCCTTTTCCTTGATCTTATATGAAAGCTCTTGTAATTATGCACAACTTTTGTAATATATTTCTTACCAAATTATTCTCGGTTCAAAAGTTATTATACAAAAAGAAGCAAAATTTCATGAAAAAAAATTACTAAAAATTGCCGTCACATA